AGGCATGGCCCCTGATGATCTAGACGAAGACGCTGAGGCTGATATTGACATGGGTGAGGAAATGGAGCAAATGCATGCAGAGTAGTGACGATGCAGGCGCAAGATCGCGTCGTTTGCGTTGTTTAAAAGAAGATGGTCATTGACTTTTCAGTTCTAATACCTTATTTCTTTCCCCTTTTTTTTTTTTTACTTTTTCTTTATTTGCTTTGTCTGGATCGATTGTGTGCAACTAACTGATTGTGTCAAATGTACGAACAATATTTCGTTGTCTTGCATTATTGTATTATTCAGTTTATCGAGGTCGTCTCTTAAATGAGCATCTCACATGGCAATTAGACTACCTGAATGCCCTTGAAAGTCTTAATTTACTGCCTCCGCGTCTGTGAAACCCCTCATATAATTAAGAAATTCTCTAGCGAGTTATTCCATCGTGCCATTATTGATGCAAAGAACAGTCTAGGCCAAGGTTGAGCATCCCGCCCTCATACATCAGCATATTCGGGAGATATGAAATACGCCCCGGCGCCTGGGCTCCGGCGATTGAGCCAAATTCTATCCATCTTTGCCAATTCCCGGATACTTAGGGCAAGTTGAGTTCTAACACGTTGTGATTGGAGACTTCTCGGATAGTGACTTGGCTGGAGTGGTAGCGTGCCTTATAGCTTATGGCTTTGGGTGTACAAGGTGGGTGCAGATTCCCTCCGGATCCAAGACCACGTCTAGGGGTGTCAGTATCAATGGCCAAACGCAGATCCATAATAGGCACCAGCATGGAAATAGTGAGATCTTTGGAAGTCATGGTCATGTGTAGATAACTAACAGTAAACATGAAAGTGTTTGAGTTATAACACGGAGTCCAACATCACATCGCAGGAAGTTTCCTAGTGCCCATAACATCAAGACCTTATGACTACCGTTCCACTGATCAAACTGAAGGCTTTCACTCTCTAGATTCCGGTGTAGTAGGTATCGTGAAATGTGTCTAATATTGAAAGTATTTTGCAATATGATTTTAGTAGGGAAGAAAATTGTTGCGGAGACTAGCCTTGCCGGATGGAACTTTTGGGGCTCGGGGGTTACTGGACAACGACAGCGGATCTGGTATTTCACATGAACAAATGATTAGTTACATATCAATTCGTACTGGGACTTCAAAACCCGAATAAATTTACCAGTACATTGGGATAATTTTCACAGAGACTTACGGTAAATTTCACTGGGACCGAAAAGACGTCAAATCCACCCTTGGATTAGCTGTTTTCACGCAATAAGAAACAAGTTTTTCTGAAAAGGCCCGGTAATGCTTTGACAGGCTATATTTCAAGACTGTTAAATATTACACCAGGGAATGTATTCCACAAAATACTGAGATTTACGATTGAGTTTCATAAGGGTATGCAGGTATCTTGCATCGCTAGCGAAATGGGTCATCTGAGATCGGATCAGCGCCACCCTCAGTCTTCGGAACCATAGGCTGTGTGGGAGGGGGAGTTGATAGATCGCGCTGAACACGGTCACCATGCTCATTCCAACCACTGTTCTGTAACGCCGTCGTCAATTCCGATTCCATCCAGTCTGAGCGCTCCAAGGCATCTAGTCTCTTCAAGTACTTCCCCGCAAGTAGAGCAGAAAAAATTGCATCATCATCTGCTGGTTTACCAAGGGCCACAGATTTGACGTCCGATGACCCTTGCCTGTCGAAGAGTTGCCTATATTGAGCAATGTCTCTTGCTTTCGGCGCTTTTTCATATCGCACTGCAAACGTTATGGCCAATGTTTCGATCATCTCCCTCAACGGGACATTGAATAAACGAGAAACTTGGAAAGGGTCAGAGGCTTGCACTTCGACTTTCTTCCTATCTCCGCCTTTCGCAGCTCCGTCAGGGTCCAGATAATGATGGTCGAAAGCGGCATGGAGCATGTCAGTGAGCGCACTCTTGAAAAAGCCGTGCTTAGTATATCTCAAAGCAATCCAGACGAGGACGTAGAAGAAGGATTCCAAGTCATCGGCACGGTCGGGGATCGCTGGTTGCTGCCCGGAAGCGGGAACCACCAGTAAACGAGCAGCCATGAATTGCCAGGTACCCTGTCCATGACAGATACAGAGGAAGGGAATCACAAAACGCCAAAGAAAAATTTAGAAGAGGTACCAATAGGGTTCGGATAGTAGGGGAGGTACTCACAGTCCTTTCAGTGTGCGCTTGTCCTTGATGTATATGTTTAAGCATTTTGCAGAGATCCCAGTCAATTAACAATCCACCACCTGTGACAGTGATAAGAATATTGCCTGAGCTGATATCTCGGTGAAGAATTTCAGCCTTGTCATAAGCGTCCCCATGGGCTGTTGAAAGGGAATCAACGCCAATTCTGTTAAGAGACTGATATACGTACCTACGATGGCGTCTCTTACTGCAGTCACCATCTCCTTTGTATCCCTAAAATCGCTTAGAGACCTCCCGATTTCGTTCAAAACGAGTCGATAGTGCTGCAATCGCCTGAATGGTGAAGGACGTTTTATCATTGATGAATCCTGCGTCTTGGTACACTGCTGTAAAACATCACATCCCTCCTTGCACGTGCAGATATTCCTGACCCCATGTTTCTTCAACTGCTCATATATCATGTGTTCGGGGCTTTGCGTGGCGGAAACGATCCTCCATGTGTCCTTGAGAAGTACCAGCTTCCCAGTTTCGATACAGTAGGCCTTGAAGACACGAGTCGAGCGGCCGAGGGGGGATCCTACAGCCATGTAGGTAGGACAATAAAATACGTAAGTGTGGCCTTTTGGATCAAGTTGAACATGAAACAGTCGGTCACGGTCTTCGAGATTGAGGGACCTTTTGGCCTTTGCCGCGGCAGGGTGGTTGGGTGGAAATTCTCTGGCGGTAGTATCGACGCCACGTGCAGCAGGGCTCGCGTGATTAAACCGCCAGAAGAACTCGACATAGGAAGGATTTGAAAGACGGACTTTTTCCGTCACGATAGCGCCACTCCTATCCCAGCGCATGAATCTAGCGTAATTCGGGAAAACAAGGACAAGGAAGACATGTGTCCGGAACTGTGCAGCTTGGTGTGCCGTCGCATATAATGTAATCTGACCCAGCGTATCAAGCGCAACTTTGGTAGTACGCTCCAAGGAACCATTGTCACTGAACGCGTCGTCCCAAACGGCTTTTTTAAACTCAACAATCATTTCTGTCTGTGTCATATCCGATAGGCCAGATCGCTTGGAATTGGCAGAAAATATTTGTATATCTGGCTTGACTTGTTTCCCTCCGAAGTCCACCGCAGGTGTGTCGTGAGCGTCCACGAGATCAAGGTTGGGACAAAATGGTGACATGAAATTAATCTATATCCTAAATAAATTGCATGGAATCCAAGGGCAGTACAAAATTACGTACCCAGGGCTTGTACATGGCAAACTCGGAACTGGATTCGCTGAAAGATTTGTGTTTTGCCTGTGTTTCGGCAGTAATTTTGGGACAGGGATTGGGAGCTTTAGGGAGGTATTGATTCAAGAAATGGTCTACTTTGACGGGACCGACAATTCTCCCAGATATTTCCCTGGACATCGCGGTGATCCTTGCATCTCTCGCTCGGTGCGTGGAAGAATATATCTGTGATGTTGAATCCTTCTTTAGAATAGGAGTGGCACCCAACTTTGCAGGATCCGAGGTAGGACCCGACGGTGGTGTTTTTGGGCGGAAACTATGAGACGATGTCGTGGGTAATGTGTTCTTCGGCATTAAGTGGTAATGCAAGGTGATCAAGTAAGGACAACCCCGATCGAGGTGGCGGCTGTCACGTGTAGTCACAGATCAACTCACGTCTAGCGACCGGGACTATAGATCCCGTACTGACCTTCCGTTGCACAAGTGTATGAATTTCCCGCAATGCACTCATAACAGACGTCACCCTATTCCCATAATAATAGTGGTGTCCATTTTGCGCTGAATTTTTAATATATTGGGAGCGGTGCGCCGAGATCACTCAAGTGTTGAAATTTTCGCCGTTCGGGAATAATCTCAACATGATGACACTTGTAGGTCCTAGCATATTTCGCCCTAAGATACATAGTTCCGTACAGTAGCTTAGTACTACCAACGCCTTTTGTTCACGTCCATCGTCTACCAGCCTTTACCCACTTGCGTCAACAATAAGAGCGATATTGTCCATCTTTTCACTCCTACCGTATAGTCTCCGTGAAAGGAAATACAGTAGATAATGATAATTTATACGATCCGGAACTGTGTACATGAGTGCGTTATGACATCTTTGCATATGAGTGGGTAGCTTAGCCCAACCCTATTCATTATGAAGTTATGCATTCTGACCTTATCCACTGTATTAAATAAAAATACTTGATTTATTAAAACACATTTACTGCAAAGTGTTAGGATTTATTGGTATATGTTGCAAGCCGTTGAGGCGTCCGACGCTGACGGTCTTGCTGTGCTCTTTGTTTGGGGTATGCTATCTTACCAGGTGGATATTCTATTTACTCGAGGGACAATAGGCTAGATAGTATAGAACTTTACAGTACTTAGTCAAAAGTTGTATTCTACAAGTGGCTTTGTCTCCCCCCCAACTTTAAACTTCTATATAGCTTTGCATAAGCATGGTTAGTACTTAATGGCTATCCGTAATTCTTAAACACATTTCACACGCTTGGTCCAACAGGTACTGAACAACAACACCGGTATAACGTTGTACATTTGACTCTGTTATTTTTTTCCGTATTTCAGACATTGTGATACTGCACCTTACTTTTGTTGTACAAGTATTTATTTTACAATGACAAAAAAAAAAATTCGTCAGGCTAAGTCGATGTGCGAACTTTGAACTTTTACATAGTTATGCATATGCTTGTTTGGTACTTGATGGCTAGTTCCATAATTCTTAAACATATTTCATACGCTTGGAAAAAGATATATATATATATATAGTTCAATGGGAACTTTTGGTAGGAAGGAGCCTGTGATTTAACGGGATAAAAATATTGCCTCAGGCGGGAGTCGAACCCACGGCCTTCAGACTCTTACCCGGTCAGAGGGACTGCAAGAATCTTACGCTCTACCGCTGAGCTACCGAAGCCTTATTTACAAGGCCTACATTCTAATAGATACTGAGCGACGACACCACCGTTGTACCGTTCTGGATTTGAACCTGCTATTTCTTCCCTCATTCCAGACTTATTTGTCATGTTACACCTTAATTTGTTGTACTAGTATACAGTGACAAACGGAAAAATCAAAAGGCTAAGTCGATATATTTTGGGGTGAGAACTTTGAACTTTTACATAGTTATGCATATGCATGTTTGGCACTTAGTGGCAAGTAGAGTTCCTCCAACCATTACCGGGACCGCTGCTATGCTATCCCAACACTGCAACTAAAGGTGGCCTTCCTGTGTAGTACGACTGGTGACAAATCTAAGTAGGGTGCTCCTGTTGAAGTATGCATAATACTGTTCCTAGACCGTATAACTTTCCGTTTGTAACGCGAAATACGCAGTGATTTTCAACCGCAGGGACCCGAGCCCTAATGCTCGTAATCCCTCGCTAACCTAAATCTCCGAAAGGTCAATAGCTGCACCATCAGCTTTCTTTACATAACGAGCCCGGGGAGAATGAATATAGATTTCTGTTTCGAAAAATTACCAAACTCGGGGCAACTTACAGTCCTCTACAGTTATTAAGGGTATGGCGCGCTGATGCGGAGTCCTCGGTGGCTGCTCATATTCCTCTTTGTAGCTCTTGGTTTGTTTCAGGAATCAAGCCAATATCAGAACCAGGAGCAACAAATCGAAGGATTCTTTGAAAAAGCGGAAGGGCGCGCCGGTGTGGTCAAATGAATAGTTAGTCTCCTGTCCAAACTTGAATCTATAGTCTGCACATTGGCACCTAATGAGCTCTTGTTTCCCAGACAGACTTTATTGGCATTGATCACATATGAAGGTACTTGTGCCCGTACAACAAGTTGAAAGATACGGGAGAATGATAGGATCGTACTTATAGCTTTGGAGCCGATGTCGCACTAACATGGGATATAGGCAACGTCTGAGTCGTACCTCAGAGAGAGACATGGTTAATACAATGTTAAGCAAAAAGAGAAATAACTAACCGGGGGGGAAGGGGCAGACAATCCCTCCTCATCTCATGACCCCATAAAATCAAACAAAGTCCAAATTGCGTCTCTCTATCGTGCCCGTAAAGTTGTCACTGTCCACCCACTCGAAGAGCAAGTGACCAGTTCAGACGGTGCAGAGGATAGCAACTACAACAACCAAGACGAACACCCAATTCCTGTGCGCAGTTTCGCCATAGGGTTGAGCAGCTGAAGCAGTCGCTGCCGGACGCTGGCTAGACCGTCACTGAAATCGAGCGTCCTCCTTGGAAAGGTCCCTCGAGCGACCTCATGAGAGTAAGAGGGAGAGAGAGTGAATTGCCTGCGTCGTTTCTGTGAGCAGGGGTCAAGGTTATATACAAATTATAATGTTTCGACATGTTTGGCAAAGAATAGGGTTAGATGCTATTCAATTGACAAAGGGACCCAAAAAAGTGCCCGGCCAGGGTTGCCCGGACACTTAAGGCGCACCCTTTGTTATTCACAGACAATAGAAATCCCTCGCAAAGAATAATGATGGATCTATGTACCCTTCTCTTGCTTTAAAACTGAAGGAAATGATCATCACGTATGACCGCCTTCGAAAACGATATCTGATAGAACATGTCAAAATTCCGACAATTAGTACTTCTTTCGATCGTAACCTGATTATTAGACACATGCGCATCACTTCAGGATGGATCTCGTTTCACTATGCGGTACTCAAGTATTATGGGTATATTTCTTGAAGTGAGGCGCCGCAACGTGTTCAAGAACCTCAGGAGAGTCCTCGACGTCCCTGGCTCCATATTTGGCGGTATTTATCTTTCTCCAATAATTATTTCGTTTTTAGAAGCAATAATTGGGGTACAAATTCGTTGAAGATGTCACAGGAACCTCCGCGGACAGATATATCTACTTCAAATGCACATTGAGCCCTCCAGGACCATCTACAAATACACTGGCCTTTCCCAGACGATGTATCATGTGAAGTATGTTCTCCAAAAATCTTTAATCTGTAAGAATGCCGTCAGAGCTGTGGTGGGAAACCAGTGACGTACATCTATCTCTTCGCCTTTGTCAACTTGACGTACTGAGACACAGTGCGTATTTGTATCCTAATGGAAATTTAACTTTATCCATGTCCAGTCTGTCTGGGAAACAAGAGCTCATTAGGTGCCAATGTGTACACTATAGATTTAAGTTTGGACAGAAGACTAACTATTCATTTGACCACACCAGTGCGCCACCGACAGCCTAAAGACAATATTTAGGTGGCTTCCCTTTCCATTTAAATCTACAAAGAGTGAGTATTAGGTATGTATGGCTCGAAGGAGTCACTGAAACACGAAAAAGCCAGGAATTGCCTGTGAGTCCTGACATGGAGATTCCACTTTTTCAAAGAATCCTTCGATTTGTTGCTCCTGGTTCTGATATTTGCTTGATTCCTGATACAAACTACGAGCTTCAAAGAAGAATATGAGCAGCCACCGAGGAGTCCACATCAGCACACCATGCTCTTACTAAATGTGGAAAATGTAGTTTGTCCCGAGTTTGGTTATTTTTCGAAACACAAATCTATATTCATTATATCCTCGCGCTCATTATGTAAAGAAAGCTGATGGTGCAGCTATTGATCTTTCGGAGATTTAGGTTAGGGAGGGATTACAAGGATTAGGGCTCAGGTCACTGCAGTTGAAAATCACCCTGTATTTCGTGTTACATGAGTCTATGTGTTTCTGTTTATCCTTATCTATTTACAACTAGTACCATCACCCCAGTCAGACAAATGGAAAGTTATATGGTCTAGTGTTATGACTGTGTCATAACCGTGTTGCAATCCGACAGTCCCCGAGAATACTACCATCTATCGATGTTCCAAGTTATTGATCAAGTCATCATTTTGGCAACCTTTGGAACACTGACACTGATGTATACCTTCATGGCGATCAAACCCCATTTACACCCCTGTCAAAATATACTCGTACCATCTGGTTATACTTTGATATGTCCGTTTTCATTAGGATGATCCGTTTTACTCTATGTTTCACATATTCCGGTATATACTTGTAGCCTGTGAACTATTCCCTTTTCTCATAATCCCACTCTCAGCTAAATCTCGGCTTCCAATCTTATCGTAACCTTCCAGTTTCTAGTCAAGTCTATTTGTCAAATAATGTTTCTGCTCTTCCCTTAGTTAGTAGTTTCTAGACACCGATAACTCGTATATAAAACCTGCTGTAATGTAACTACAAGACAATCAGAATATCAACTTAGATCGACTTAGATACCCCTCTAATTTCCGACTCCATTATCTATTCATGACCACCACATTCCGACTCCATCCGATTTACAATTCAACCTATATTTACGACTTCAACCTCTAATCTCCGACTCTCAGTCTCTGACTCTCAGTCTCTGACTCTCAGTCTCCAACTCTCAGTCTCCAACTCTCACAGTCTCCCACTCAGTCTCCGACTCTCAGTCTCTGACTCTCAGTCTCTGACTCTCAGTCTCCAACTCTCAGTCTCCAACTCTCAGTCTCCAACTCTCAGTCTCCAACTCTCAGTCTCCAACTCTCAGTCTCCAACTCTCAGTCTCTGACTCTCAGTCTCCAACTCTCAGTCTCCAACTCTTGGTCTCTGACCCCTCAGCCCAATCCTCGACTTATCCTTTGGTTTCCGATCGGTAGCTTACCGAGAGGTTTACTTGACAGGACTAGTTTCCGCCTGTCTGAAATTTAAGGACACCCGACGGTAACTTGCGAGGGTGCAGCACATAAGCTGAAGCCAAGTCCTTCTGTTCAGTCCCTGTCGGTCTACCGACATCAGTCAGTTTTCAGTTCTTAACCCCTAGGAACAGCACCACGAAAACTTCAACAGCAGCACCCTACTTAGATTTGTCACCAGTCACTAGAGGAACACCACCATTAGTTGCAGTGTTGAGATAGCATAGCATATTTGTTACGACCTGTTCCCAGATGTTTCAATATCCGACTTCTGACATCTGACATCTGACTTCTGACTACAGAACATCATGTTACCGTACCTTCCGTATTCTTCCCTTGTTCTGCATTTGGTAATTTGTCTGTTGACAAGTATTCTCTCGTTTGTTTATTATATTCCCATTTCGGAATATTGTCTCCCTAATTCACCTTATTGTATTCCCATTTCAGAATATTGTCGACCTAATTCGCCTTATTGTATTCCCATTTCAGAATACTTTCATTTTCATCTTATTGTTGTTGTCTTAGTTTGTAGTACAATAATGAGAAGACTTATATTAGTTTCTGCAAATTTGTACTTTACTTTAGATCTGATATTGACTTAGTTTCTTATTCCCTCTTCCATCTTTCTGTATGCTCAATATTCAGAACTCTTCAGAACTCTGAATATCTGCCTCTTCCATCGTAAGTCTCACTTTTGAAATTAAGGACTTCTGAGCATTTGCGTAGAGGTGCAGCACATAAGCTGAAGCCAATGTCCTGACCCTATCTGATAGTTCCAGAATAAGTCCCGACATGGCACTTAACAGTATTAGATGTTGACGGTTTATAGAAAATGGATAGGGTTTATTTGGTATTACTAAGCTACTGTAATGTACTACATAGCCAAGCTTATTCGAAAAAAGAGTGCAAGACTGTACATACTGTACATACTCAGTGGCTTGCAACCTATATGAATAAATTCCAACATAGCAGTGGTCCTGGTAATGGTTGGAGCAACTCTGCTTGCCACTAAGTACCAAACATGCATAATGCATGACTATATGGAAGTTCAAAGTCCACACCTGGTAGGTTGAGCATTAGACTCAGATAGTTGCTCCTCCCGGGTAGGACCATTGGGCTTATGGGTTCAATTCCTGCCTGAGGCAATCTTTTTATCCCGTGAACTCATGGCTCCTTCCTACCAGCAGCTCCCATCAAACCACAGGTATATATTTCTTTTACCAAGCATGCAAAATATGTTTGAGAATTATGGGACTAGCCAT